AATCAATAACCCTGATTAAAGTTAGAAAAGGAAAAATACTAGATTATAAGCATCCAACCAAAAATCCCACTGGGCCTTGTAACAATAAAATCATCAGAAAGGGCCTTGTAAAAACAGTAAAATCAGCAGAGAGGGTTTTATAACAATTTGTAAAACTAGCAGAAGGGGCCTTCTAACAATATTGAAACCAACAACCTTAACGTTTTGGCAACAGTAAAACCAGCAGAAGTGGCATTACAAGATTTGTTGTTTTTTTAAGTCTATGTATTGGAGAAGATAAAGTGTTTGATGATGTAAGGGGTATGTATACTGTTTCTAATTGTATTTGCCTGAGATTTGGGTATAAAATCATTCTATTGGAATTGAAGTATTTCTTTTTTATATAAGCTTAATGTTGCACATCAAACATAATTAATAGGGACATGTTTTTTTTATTCCTTTTTATGGAGAGTTTGGCCTGTTCTTTAGATGTGTATGGTTTCTGTAGTATTATTTTTCATAACTTTTACGGTTCATATTTGTTTTAACGGATTTCATGCAAGAATGTATGTCTATTCACCTGTCCATAGCTACAATGCTCTGATAGTGGATTTGTAAACTGAGTACTGCCTTATGAAAGTTTTTTTTTACTGGGGACTTACTTAACAGACATTTATTTTTTGATGTTATTGCTTTTTGAATGAGAATTTCCAAAAATGATGAACTTTGCTCATGTTATTTAATAATAGGTTACCTGTGATTCTGAATATTTTATCAACTTGTGTTACTTTGAAACAAATATGATGGCAACCTTATATAGGAAAGAGAAAAGGAGATTAAACTATTTTGTTAATTTACTGGAAGTAAAAGATCAGGAAATGAAAAAAAAGATAACTTTCTTGCTCGAAAATATTTTGCATATTGCGTTCCTTTTTTTTAAATGGCAGATTCCTCTGTATTCTTTCAGATTGAAGTGTCCGTACTGTCCTGTGGAACAAAGCCCAACTGATGCTAGAATGATACACTTTTAAGGTAAGTTCTTATTAACTCTCTCTACATGGGCTCGGTCGATTTGACCAACCACGTGACCACTTTGTACTCATTTAAAGTCATTATAATATGGTATTACTAATTTTTAATATGGGTCGAGTATTTTCACAAAATTTAGCAGAATATCAGTAAACATTACATGTCTTTTTACGTATAAAAATTAAATTTTTTAGTGAAGTATTTTTAATAAACACAAAAAAAAGATTTGTCTGTGAATATATTGAGTCTTTTTTTTTTTGACTAGTCCAAGTGCAAAGTGATTTTCATGTTAAGATTAAAAATACTTTTCTTCATCTTAAAAATTAGTTTCAGCCAAAGAGAGACAAATGTTATCAGATGCTGTAGTCCCTTTCTGCTGATTTTATTATTGTTACAAGGTCCTTTCTGATGATTTTACAGAAAGGGCCTTGTAACAAATGATTTTATTGTTACAAGGCCCTTTCTGCTGATTTTATTATTGTTACAAGGCCCTTTCTGCTGATTTTATTATTGTTACAAGGCCCTTTCTGATGATTTTATTGTTACAAAGCCCTTTCTGCTGATTTTATTATTGTTACAAGGCCTTTTCTGCTGATTTTATTGTTACAAGGCCCTTTCTGCTGATTTTATTATTGTTACAAGGCCCTTTCTGATGATTTTATTATTGTTACAAGGTCCTTTCT